GATCTGTGAGCTCTGTTAGCTGAATTGATGGGTGTGCAAGGCAAATTGAGAGTCAAGAGGGCTGGAGACTGTCTGACAGTCTAGACAGTAAGGGGTTGGGATAAGGATTTTTTGGAAGAAAGGTAATAACTAATAAGCAAAAATGCATCTGTTATTTATGCATGAAGCTGTATTTTCATACAACGACTGGATTGAATTCCTTGAAATTCATGCTCGTTATTGATGGGGAAAGACTGCCTAGAGTATTCCCTTCCCCAGACACTCACGAAGTGGGTATTTGAACTGGGTCGGCCCTTTATTGATGGGGATAAAGTTGTCCTTCTATGAGTTGTTTCCATATCCACTTATTCGCAGTGGTTATGCTGACATGGATTGGATGTGGACTGACCTTGGGGTACACATGACTTGCTCCATCACCTTGGGGTACACATGACTTGCTCCATCAGCTCAGTTTTGCAAGATGATGAACTTGTCTTAGTCTTCTTGTGATGTCCCATGTTGCGCAAAGATAAAGGCTCAGTGTGGTACTTAAGCCATGGGACACTCCCATCCAATATGCTAGTCTTTTGGTGTGGACTCTCAAGGCCTTGAGTTGTAACAATTGGTGCTTTCATTGAGAGTGGAAGCGGCAAGCTGGAAAAGAGCAATCAGGGAAATGGCTACTTGTACTAGAAGGATAAAGAATGAAAGTGATGAAATATAAGACTGAAATGTATTTTTCATATATTGATTGACACCCAAAGGGATCTTTATATACAGATTACAAGGTAGTTAAGGAGTTGAAGTAATAAATAAAATACACAGTAACTGAAGAGGCATCACACTACTCAAAGGAACAAGTAGCTAGAAACAAGTAGAAAACTCTAGAATATTCTACACTCCCCCTCAAGTTGGGAGATATATATTGATCATCCCCAACTTGCTAATTAAATCCTCAAAGATGGGTTTGTGTAATCCTTTGGTGAGAATGTCGGCTGTTTGCTCCTTGGTAGGTATATATGACAAACATACACTACCCTCCTCCAATTTTTCTTTGATAAAATGACGATCAACCTCCACATGTTTGGTTCTGTCATGATGTACAGGATTTTGAGCAATACTGACTGCAGCCTTATTATCACAATAGAGTTTCACAGGTAGAGAATAAGATATCTTTAATTCTCCAAGGAGCCTTCTTAACCAGATTCCTTCACAAATGCCATGGGCTAGCGCCCGAAATTCTGCTTCTGCACTGCTTCTGGCAACAACAGTTTGTTTCTTACTTCTCCAGGTCACAAGATTTCCCCAGACATAGGTACAATATCCTGAAGTGGATCTTCGGTCCATAGCAGAGCCAGCCCAATCAGCATCTGTATAGATTTCTATCATCCTCTTGTGTCCCCTTTTAAAGAGCATTCCTCGACCAGGGGTGTTTTTGAGGTACTTGAGGATTCTATAAACAACACTAAGGTGTTTTTCCTTAGGAGAATGCATGAATTGGCTAACCATGCTAACCGCAAATGCAATATCAGGCCGAGTGTGAGATAAGTAGATCAGCTTCCCTACCAACCTTTGGTATTGCTCCCTGTCAACATCTTTTCCATCTTCAATTCCCAATTTAATATTGGGTTCAACTGGAGTTTCTGCAGGCTTGCACCCAAGCATACCTGTTTCTTGTAGCAGGTCTAGAATATATTTCTTCTGAGATAAGGAAATTCCCGCCTTGCTACGAGCAACTTCCATTCCAAGGAAATATTTGAGAGATCCAAGATCCTTTAGTTCAAACTGACTAGCTAAACCCCCTTTTAAAGATTTTATTTCTTCCCAGTCATCACCTGTGACAATTATGTCGTCAACATAAACAATGAGGATAGCAATTTTGCCACTATCGGAGTGTTTAAAAAATAAAGTGTGATTAGTCTGAGCTTAGATAAATCCTCTTTCTTTAACAACACGAGTAAACTTTTCAAACCACTCTCTAGGGGATTGTTTAAGTCCATAAAGAGATTTCTTCAACATGCATACAGAACCATCTCCCTGTTCAAAACCAGGTGGTGGATCCATGTAAACTTCCTCATGTAAGTCCCCATTTAAGAAAGCGTTCTTTACGTCCAATTGATGCAAGGGCCAATCAAGGTTGGCAGCAAGTGATAGTAAGACTCGGATAGAGTTAAGTTTGGCAACGGGAGCGAACGTCTCCTGATAGTCTATCCCATAAGTCTGAGTACATCCTTTGGCAACCAATCTGGCCTTATATTTGTTGATGTTGTTATCTGTATTAAATTTTATTGTGAACACCCATTTGCAACCTACAGTTTTCTTTCCTCTGGGAAGTGCCACGGACTCCCAAGTTCCATTTTTTTTAAGAGCATCCATTTCTTCAAAGACTGCATCCCTCCATTTAGGGTCATTAAGTGCCTCTTGGATATTTTTTGGTATTTTTGTACCGTCTAATATAGTGTTGAAAGCACGAAAACCTGGAGATAACTTTTTATATGAAATGTGATGAGAAATAGGATGAGCAGTGCAAGATCTAGTACCTTTTCAAAGGGCAATGGGCACATCTAGGTCAGCTGTACCAGTGTTCTCAAGTGGATTGCTGGAACTAGGACTCGGGTCAGAATCCTGGCAATCTAGAGGATCTTGAGGAGATTTTCGCCTGCTGTAGAATTTTCCCCATTTACCGGGAGGATCTCCAGTCTCTGGTACAATTGCTGTCCTTGTCTCCTGTACATTAACTCCCCCTGACTCCAAAGGTAAAGAAACAACAGATGTTTCCAAGGGTAAAGGTAAGACAGTAGAATTATTTGGATTCCAAGACTTGTCTTCATTTATACCAATAGACTCCCCCTGAAGAGAAGTCGAGGGAAAAAATGATTGTGTTTCACAAAAAGTAACATCCATAGAAACAAAGACCTTTCGAAGAGAAGGTGAGTAGCACTTGTAACCTTTTTGATTAGGAGGATATCCTATGAAGACACATTTAACAGACTTATGATCAAGTTTGGACCTTTGATGTGGAGGAATATGAACAAAAACCACGCAGCCAAACAACTTTGGAGGAAGGGAAAAGAGAGCCCGAAAGGAGGGAAACGAGCGGGTAAGGCAAGATATGGGAGAATGAAAATTCAGGACGCGAGAGGGCATCCGATTGATGAGATATGAGGTAGTCAAGACAGCCTCCCCCCACAGGTATTTAGGGACATGCATTGTAGACAAGAGGGCTCTAGCAACTTCAATGAGATGTCTATTTTTTCTTTCAGCCACCCCATTTTGTTGAGGGGTGTTAGGACAAGAACTTTGATGGATAATACCTTGCTTGGTTAGGTAATCACCAAGAACAGAATTAAAATATTCAGTACCGTTGTCAGTTCGCAGGATTTGGATAGAGGTCTGGAATTGAGTTTGTACCATAGCATGAAAATTTTTAAAAGTGGCTGCAGCTTCAGACTTATCTCTTAGAAGATATACCCAGCATACTCTAGAATGATCATCAATAAAGGTAATAAACCAACGAGTTCCAGATATATTTTTTTCACGAGCTGGGCCCCAAATATCACTATGAATCAATGTAAATGGAGACGAAACATGATAATCTCTAGGGAAATAAGAAACACGAGAGTGTTTTGCAAACTGACAATCATCACAAAAAAAGGAACTTGGTTTTTTGTTGATAAATAAGTTTGGAAGCAGCTTTTGAAGATAAAAGAAATTTGGGTGTCCTAAACGACGATGCCACAACAAAACATCATTACAATCGTCTGATAAACATAAAGAGTGATTTGCAAAAAATCTCTTTTCATGAGAATCTTCTTCAAAATAGTAAAACCCTTCTTCCTCTCTAGCACTGCCAATTATCAGCCCCGAATCCTGTTCTTGAAAAACACAGGTTTTGGCAGAGAATTTAGCAACACAATGCAATTCAGAGGAAAGTTTACTAATAGAGATAAGGTTACAAGTAAGAGAAGGGACATGAAGGACAGAATTCAGAGTAATATGTTCAGAGAGCTTAATGGATCCCTTTCCCGCAATATTAGAGAAACTACCATCAGCCGTCCTTATTCGTGACTGGTGATAATAAGGGGTATAAGAACAAAACAGGGATGCATTACCTGTCATATGATCAGAAGCTCCCGAATCAAGAATCCAACGACTACTATGATCAACATGGAATGCCATACCTTGTTGAGCAACATGACTAGTTGCCTCAGCAGATTGAGACATCACCTTCTGAAATTGCTCATAATTCTTACCGTTTAAACGGTGGTTAGTAATCTGTATAGCTGGGTTGTCTCCGGAAGAAGAAGAACAGGGAAGAGGAAAGACACCGGAAACATTACCGGATGATTTTTCAGAATGCTTATTCTCAGCCTCAATATTTTCAACTTCCATTGTTCAAAATAAAAAAAATAAAAAAAGGAACTCCAATCGTTCAGAACTGAAAAATCACGAAGAGGAACCAACTGGACCCAACAAGAAGAGTGCTCCAATCGTGATTTAAACCCCCAGAACAGGAAGAGGAAGGCCAGGCGAGCCGTTCTGTGAAAGCCGCGTGACAAACGGAGGCCGGCAAGGCGGCGCGTGGCTCACACGCGCCGGAGAGGCAGTTCTGCAGTGGCGGCACGTGGCTGACTTTCCGGCGACGGGGCTGACGTGGGTCGACTCGGAAATGGCTTCTGAGTCCAATGGTGGCCTTGGTTTCGTGATTGGAGGGGTCCAGATATGGTTTCTGAGTTATTTTAATAAACAGTGAAAAATGGAAAACGGAAGGAAACGTGAAGGTTTACAAGATGACCACAGGATAACCTGCTCTTGATACCATGATGAGATATAAGACTGAAATGTATTTTTCATATATTGATTGACACCCAAAGGGATCTTTATATACAGATTACAAGGTAGTTAAGGAGTTGAAGTAATAAATAAAATACACAGTAACCGAAGAGGCATCACACTACTCAAAGGAACAAGTAGCTAGAAACAAGTAGAAAACTCTAGAATATTCTACAGAAAGCCACCTTAAGTGGATTGCCAGAGTGCTTTCTGGCCTAATAGACCTGTCTTTTAGGATGGGTTTTCCTTTTGAGCTTGAGTTATAACACATAAATCAAGACTGGGGTAGAGTTCCTTCAGGGAAACAAAATTGGTGATGTGGACCGTTCTTCACCTATGCACCCCCCCCCCCCCCCTTTTTTTTCTTTTTCCCTCCAACCCCTCTTTCTAAAAATAGGGATATGGAGCATAATTCTTGGAAAATACATAAAATCATGTGTGTTTCCCCCTTCCCTTACAAGAATTCGGACGATGGCTGAGATTACAAGATATATAGCCACTATATGGTGTGTTAGTGAATTTAACAATTTTGATCTGACTGAAACTTATATCATCTAACTTGAGTCCACTCTTCCTATTTTGAAACTATATAATTCAGCTTCTAATTTGATATATTGAAAGTTTACTGCCTGGCTGTTCTGTTTTAGATATGTCATTTGGATCTGACAGGGTCAATGGGAACTTTCAACTATTTTTCAAGTCTTGTTTATTATATTAGAGTAGTTAATTGTATATAATGCCTTTGTTCTTTTTCCTTTTTTGAGTAAATCACTGTTGTCTCCCCTCTATCATTCAAGTACCTCTCCTCTATTTTTGAAGCCTATACAAACCTCCCATGAACCTGTGAAATGTTAAAAATGCCCTCTGAAGACCCTAACTATCTCCCCTCACATTTTCTTGATTTTTCATGAACTTCCTCTGTTCAAGGGAGGTTGTATAGATTTTGAAAATAAAGGGGCGATGTGCAGATAAACCAGAAAACGTATAAGGAGGTTGAAGTAATTTAATTGTTTTATACTGTCTTAAATTAAAGAATTGAGCTTGCAGGTAGTATTCAAAACTCGCATTTACCACTGCAATATAGACCCTGATGGCCATGTTAGTATGGGAATATTGAAGGATGGTTGGAGTCCAGCACTAACAATTACTAAGGTGCTACTTGCCGTTAGATCAATTTTAACAAATCCTGACCCTTGTAAGTTCTTCCGATCTCCTCTTAATAAATATGTCTGTATGACTGCTTAGATCACTGTATTCGTTTGTCTTCTATCTTCATTACTATATTTTTTGTTTATAAAATGTGTTGGTTGATGAGGATTTACATGGGATTTCTATTCTTCAACCTTACATTATGCTTTCCAATGTAAGTGAAGAGGCAAAACTTGTTTTGTTATGTGCCATGTCTTGGAGAAGAAGCTTTTTTTAACAGGACACCAAATATGATAATGTGTTCTGACATCAGTGAACTTAATTCCCTGTTACAAACATGCAATATTAGTAATACCAACACGTATAATCAATCAATACACCAAGTAGCCATTTGTGATCTTGAAACGTTAAGTTGTCATCATTGTTGCAGATAATGCTGTTGTCCCTGGCATTGCTCACTTGTATTTGGGAGACAGAGCAAAACATGATGATATTGCTGCAGAGTGGACTGTCCGATTCGCCAAGTGAATATGATACAGGAGCCCTTTGATTGGCTTACATCTTATATATCATGTTCCAATATTTCTGTAAATGAGAATGATAGTTCATAGTTCATGCACTCGTAACAAGCTTATCACCTCCTCACAAGCTTTGATAATAAATAAACTAGGTGGTGTTATCCCCTAACTACAAGATGATATGCCGCATGAACTGAAGCCATATTCTACAATTTGTACCATCATAATCTAATTCAACCGATTTTCTACTATATGACAAGCTGAACCATGTTTGCTAGGTTTTATAATGACTAGAAGCTCTCATTAGTTCCTGCAAATATACGGCAGGAAGTAGGGAGCCAATTCTTCAGGTTATGCCATTTTTACATATTTCCTCACATTTTTAAATCAACCCTTGCATTATTGAAGATAGATTATACACAATCTTATTGTTATATTTTTCTAAAGAGATTATCTTTCAGCAACTCAAGTCTTCTAACAATCACCTATCTAAATTGTAACTCATTTTTTCAGCTAAGTAACACTACTTTAGTTCTCAACTATTCCTTAAAAATTTGTAAAAGCTTAGACAATTAATAAAATGTCTCTATATCATCTCAATTTTGTAATAAAGTGTTGGTTATTATTTTTTCTTACTTCTCACTAATACATATCCTGTTAGTTTTTTTTTTTTTCGGTTACACCAGTGTAGGAATTATAAGTCTTACACTCAATCTTAATAATTGATTCACTTGTATCTAATGACTCATATTACTAAAAAATTAGAACCCTTAGATATAAGTGGGATCAATAGTCAAGATAGAGAGTGTGACTTACATTGGTATAAAATGATCTTGACCCCTTTTTTGTCATATTAATTTTATTAATTCAGTGACTTGATTATTTCCAAACCTAAAATATTTTAATGCAATGATACAAATGAAATATAAATGTGCAATTAACATGATCAAATAAAAAGACTCGATTACTTTTCAAATGTTTATACTGTTTTCGATATAATAGTAACAATTCTTATATAAGTATGGTTATATATATTTTTTTTGTTAAACATTCTTTAAGATTAATAACATCTCAAGAAATATTAATATGATCAACAAAATCTTACCCCACGTTCGATCATGAAGTAAGCTATCAGTAAATTATGCACCTAATCTTGCTTATTCACAAAACACAAATTATTAAGCCGCCGCAGGCGCAGCCCCCCAATATCAGATGTGAATTTTTAACTAAGATACTTTTCTCTCCTTCTGAAACTACTTGGTGATGCTTAGAACGAAGCTTCCTCTTCTGACACAAATTATTTTTTCTTGCCATGTTAAATAAGTTTCTTCTTTAGGAAAAAAGATGTACCCGGGTACATTTAATACTCCAAATATTTATGGGCAATGATTCTCTCCTTTTACAGGAGAGAAGGAATACTTCCTACACTCACATTGAATTTTGTGTCAAATATTTTTTTATTTTTTATTTTTTAAAAGGAATGGTGGCCCCACATCTTTGTTTGAGTAGGAGATAACTTATTTTTTCCTACAAAATGAGTAAAGTTTTTCTCAATATTTATTTCCTCTTCTGTTATTTTAACTGCTATACACTCAGTGTTAGGTGACATAAAACATCACGTGGTCCAACTTGGCATCCTCAATCGCAACTTTAAGTCAACTACTATTACTACTACCCCTGTACAACCAAAAACATTGATTGAACAACCATTGGAACCTTGCAAGTTTCAAGTTGGAAGGAACAAACTAACAGAGAGAGAGAGATGGGAAAGAGCATAATAAGAGAGTTGGGAGTGGAGGACTTTGTGAATGCAGGCTTAACAGTTAGAGAAGCCAATGAATTGTATAATGTTCTGAGGGATGTTCTCTCCCTCTGTCCTTGTTCCTCCGACAACCCAACAGATATATGGCGCCACGTGGTGACTCGGAGAGTGCTGAAGCCATCCTATCCACATCCCTTGCATCAACTTGTCTATTACTCCCTTCATGATCACTCTTCCCAACCTCATGCTGATGCTGCCCCTCCTCTCTATTGGTTCCCTTCTCTGTAAGTGTTTGTGTGTATCTATCTTATGATTACTAACTACTACTCACTCTTCTCTATTCAATTCATGTCTGTTTTTGTTCAGTCTTCACTGCCACTTTTTTATTTTTTTTATTTTATTTTAGAGAGCAGTCCAAACGCACGAACCTGGGTCGTCTCATGGAAACCTATGGTCCTAAGCTTTTAGGAGCATCCTACAAGGACCCTATTACTAGTTATCCTCTCTTTCACAAGTTTTCTGTTCAACACCCTCAGGCAACTACTCTTCCTTCTTTTATTTTTCATTTTATCCCCTTTTCCATTCCGTAATTTCAACATGTGTTGTTTTTTTTTTATCGTGAGTGCAGGTGTACTGGTCCCTTGTTCTCAAGGAACTTTCTGTTTCATTTGTTGAAGCTCCAAGGTGCATTCTAGATACTTCTGACCCTTCCAAACATGGGGGAACTTGGCTTCCCGGTTCTGTCTTGAATATTGCTGAATGCTGTTTGCAACCCACTTCGCACCCCAGCAAACAAGATGACAGTTTAGCCATCGTTTGGAGAGATGAAGGTTTTGATGATTCCCAGGTTAATCATATCACGCTCAAACAACTTCGACACCAAGTCATGTAAAGCTTTTCGACTGATCCTTTTGGTTTTCGAGCAAGATTATGTTACTTAGAATGCAGAGTTTGATCTCTTTGAGTCTTGACTTTTTCTTTTAACTTTTAACTTGAGCTAATTCAATTAATTCAATCATTTGAAGAGCTGTTTTTATATTCCATCATTGCATTGGATTTTGTACTTTTGAATCAGGATGATTCGTGTCTCATTTTGTTGTTTTGTTTCCACTCTTTACCTACTTGTATCTCACTTTTTTTTTTTTTTGTCTTTGATCCTTTCTCCTTTTAGGATTTACCCTTGAAGTACTTTTCAATATCTAATCTCTTCATACACTTCCTGTATGAAATTGTTTCTTTACTTCATGTTTTTTCCATATTATTTCCAGGTTGGTGGCAAATGCAATAGACGCCACATTCTCGAAGGGAGATGCAATCGCAATTGACATGCAAATGACAGCCAATGCCGTTGTTATATATTTAGCCATTGTTCTGGCAGGATGCATTGTGGTATCAATAGCTGATAGCTTTGCACCAAAAGAAATTGCAACTCGCCTGCGTGTTGCTAAAGCAAAGGGTATTTTCACACAGGTGATCTTTTGATTTGGTACTATGTGTATGACTTTAATTGTAAAGCTACCGTCGATCAAAGTGAAACTGTTCAATATTTGGAATTGTCTTTGTTCTTTCTCAGTCACCAATTTATATGTACAATATTATTCAGTATTTGTGAAGCAATACTAAAATTTCCAAATCGTTGTTGTGCCTCAGAGTGTTTCTTTTTCATTCAACTCTAATTGTCTGACTTCTGTTTCCTGTTTGATAAGATTTAACAAAAACAGTCTATATGAATGAATCTCTGATTCTTGGATAAATTCTTAGAATACTTATTTCTTAGACTTGAGTTTCATTAAAACTTATATACCTGTTTGAAGAGGGCACTGACTATCTCATCCAGCTTTGAGTCTCAGTTTCAGCAAACTGCTGGATCTTGTTTTGGCTGTTTAGGCTTTTGTGAATGGTGCATCACAATTAAGACTTCCAAAGCTTGGGCAGGGGTTAGCATTTTAAGAAGGAATAGGTGGATTGAAAACCCTACTTGTATGTTACTGTAAGGATGGCTTGCAAGCAACAATACAGAATTTAACAACCATATTGGTAGTTGTTTTAGTGCTCAAAACAGTACTTATGAAACTAGCTTTCACGGTGCCAAGAGTTCTAGGTAGACTCAAGCAACAAATAATTAGGAATTTTAATGAATGAAATCTTAATGAAGTCTAGCTAAGAGAACAGAGATGGATAGATCATTAACTGAAAGAAAACATATTTCTGTTCTAGAAGATGATGATGATGATCCTAGGCTTCATGCCTTCATGTCTAGGACTCGTTATTTCACACTCACACAACCAAGAAAGTAGCAACTATGCTGAATCATAAAATGATCATTACAATTATATCTTGATAATTTCTCTGTGCCTAAGATTGTTGAGTGGACTTTTATCAATTTCCAATTCTTTAAAAAATTAAGATTGTTGTATTTGACTCAGCTTTTATTTGTTTTCAGGATTTCATATCAAGAGGTGGCAGGAAATTCCCTTTGTACAGGTAAAATGTTGTTAGCATTGTGCTTTTTTCTATTTTTTTCAACACTTCAACTTCTGAATATTGAAATCATATTTTACATGGGCTTGGGGCACTGTTATGATGCCTGTGTCTAATTTATCTGTTTAGATAATAATAGGCATGTTAAGTGCAAGTAAAGCTTATTTCCTATTATCCTTAACTTTTGGTATAATTGGCAATTCAACATTTGTTATAGTAAGGTTATTTAATTATCATCTGTTGATGTATGCTTTGATTAATATTTGAATACTATGTTTTCCTTGTTGCTGTTTCTGAGTTCAAAATCATTGCCATGGTCCACACGATGGTGAGGGGAATCTTTGTGTTTGACCACAAATATACATGGTTGGGCTGTTTTGGGACTGCTGATAATCTATAATGGATCCGTAAAAGTCTTGATGTTAGAATATAGGAGTCAATCTGAACGTAAGTAATGTTAAAACATCATTGCTACGCTGTATTTCGGAAACCGTATTTAAGAACCATGTTTTCTTTTTCTCATTTCTGCTTCATTTTTTTTTTGGCGTTTGTCATAAGCATAAATAGCATTAAAAAGAATGATTTCTGCAATAAATTATATTTTCAATCATAAAATAAAAAGGACATATAAATCCCAGCCACAATAAGTCTTCTGCGTGTTACGTATTCAGATGCTAACTCAGAATTCCATCACATGAATAATTTAGTTCTCTCCTTGCTGTGGAGCATTCCATCTAACCACTCCCTATCACATCCTTTCCCTCCCCTTTGATAAGTATGATTCCGGGCTTCCCAATCCTGCTTGAATTTGATTCTTCTACTTCAAATGCCTTGTTTCTTGTACGGGGACTTATAAAACATAAATTAG